ATGGTTTCTTTAGTATTTTATTATTATTATTTTCTTCATTAAAAAAATGTACGTTGGATACATCTTCTATCTCAAAATTATATTCGGTTCATATTTGAAATCACATATTTATGTCTTTAGAAGACGTTTTTCTTTAAAAAATATATTTTTTTCAATTTGAATTGAACTCCGAAAATATCAATCTAAAGTAATAATAAGCATTTTTTAATTAAAAATGTCTTATTTTCGTCTCCCTACTCAATTAGATCTACTTGATCTTCTAAACTCACATAATAATACAATTTTATAATTTAAATTGAGAGTAAATTTTATCCATTTATTTTTAAATTTATCCAACATTTATCAAAACCTTTTTTTAAATTATAAATAGTTTTTTGAAGGATTTTTTACAATTTTGAATTTATCGTGATAAATAGGAATATTTCTCGTGAACGAAACTCGCGTTGGGAGCATAATTTATCGGCCTCAAATAAAAGCAGAGATTGTTTTGATTCGGAGGCAATTTGGTCTCTCTCGTTGACTTTTATTCATAGCCCTTTGATCGTCAACGTACTTTTGCACCATGACGTGCCCTCTTATTTACCACACGATTTCAAAATCTGTTTAATTTTATCCTACAAATCCATTTTCCATTTCATATTTTAAAGAATAAAAATAAAATAGCTTTTATTCCTGTCCTAAAATAAAATTCCCATTTTTATATTTATTTTCATATAACATTTTACTAGGATCATTAGTAATTTTCGATATACATAATTGATAGAATTATTATATAAGTGTAGTTTGATCCTATGGTGCATTCGTATGTAGTGATTAGGACTCGTGAGTCTAACCAACCTCGAGTTCATAGTTCTCTTATTTGTACTTCAAACTTCAAAGTTATAGATGTCAAAATTAATGCAAGTTCGTTTGGTGGATTAAAACACAAGGAGCTGAAAGTCTCATTACAGTGTTCTAGCTGCCGTTAATTATCTTATGGGTCAGGCCAACCAAAATTAAAGGACGATCTATTGCTTAAGTATATGTGGACGATTTCAGTAACCATTCAAAGAAAAAGAATAAATCTAGATAAAATCGAGAATGGATTGGAAGATGCATACAAGAAAAGAAATATATATATAAAGATAAGATTATATTCTCTGAGAAAATAAAATAAAATAACGGTAAGAGGGGAGGAGGGGTGGGACTGCGACACACGTGTGAATCACGTTTCAAAAAGCACGGAGACACGTGTCAGAAGCAGAGTTGAGGAGCAAAGCTGCGTCGGCTAAGGTCGATGACGTGTACAATCTTATCTAACTTTTGCGGTTTATTAAGCTCCGTATCTCACGCGTTGTAATTTGTACGTGACAACAGCGAATTCTCGCAAATTCTTGACAGTCCAATGTATACGCGACACGTGTCCCATCTATCCCCTTCTCTTCTCGTGATTCTATCATATCCTTACCAAACCTAAGCACTTCGTTATTGGTTGCCCCTTTGGGCTTTGCAAACCCAATTCTATTCATAAGTTGTTTCTTTCTTTGAAAAAAAAAAAAAAAAAATTATTTAGCATTAAATTACCAATTTCATTGCCTTAAAAGGTAACCTTTCAAAATACCCACAACCTACCAACTCGAGCGAACGGTCAAATATCTGTCCTACATTTATTTGTGAGAGCTCACGTAGTTAAGAAACCATTTTCATTAGACCAGTGAATGTTATGAATTATGAATAAAACAAGAAAAATAGGAGATATATGCACGTTTTAAGAACCAAACTAAAATTAACTTGCATATTTATGGAATGATTTTATCGTATGAATTTAAAACTATTTAAAAGAATTTTGTTGTAATTAGAGAGACGATTTGAAATGTATTAAATATTTTTTAATGTTGGATTTATTTGACAAAAATAATTACATAGATAGTTAAAGATATTCTAATTCAAAAAAAATAATAAATCCACATAATTTTGCAAGAAATAAAAGTAATAAAATTGACGGCCTCTCAGAATGTTGGGCTGGATGATGGGCTTATTAAGGCTTCCAAAGCCTCCCATCAAGAGTTCGAGGCCTAGCAGGTATAGAAGCATTGTGTGACAATCCAGCAGCTATCAAGTAGCTAGGAGGAAGCACATGTAATTAAGACAACAAAGTCGAATCATGGTACACCTCTAACCACATGTCCAAAGTCGAGGACTTTGATTTGGATAGGAATTCACCAACTAAAATTGATAGCTTTGCTTAGTCATGCATGATCTATAAATGCTCTTTCAAAAGGATTCCAAAACCAACCATTTGGCTCAACTTCATCTCCCGAGAATATTTAAGTTTCTATCCACCGTCCTTTCGTACCTAATTTTCTATTCTTTTAGTATAGATTAACGATAACCATTCTCATTTTTGTAGTCCGCATCTTCCTATTCAGCAAAAAAAAGTAGAATGGTCTTCGAGCTCGCCTAGGACCTAAGTGAACTAAAGTTAAGAAACGACACTCTTCATAGAGCTGTGTATTGTAAGTGATCCAAACCTGCTCTGACACCACTGAAAACGAAGTCATTGAAGCTAATTGAGAAGAGTGACTAAGCAAACCTCTTCATAATTTTACAATAATATGGTATCAACCACCTTGAATCCATCTTCAATCTGGTTAGAGTCCACTTTGATGAAATCCAGCCAAAATGAAACTCCATTCGAGATCTCAAACGCTCATTCAAACATCCTATCTTGTCTGAAATGCATGACTCATTATTGTGGCATATGATGATGAGGTAAGCGTGTTGACTTAGAAGTATAATAAAGGCAGAGGGTGGTGGGTGGAAACCGATGAAAGCGAGGCAAAATTCACAAATGGTTCAGAGCCAGGCACCCTTACCCATCTCAGATTGATGACCTCCAACTTTCCAAGTTTGTAGCATTATGAGTGTCCAAATCAGAACAAAAACAAAAAGGCCGCCCCTACAAAAACATGAACCCAGTTTGACCAAGTTGGAAGGCGTTCAAACCAGACACACAACGCCACCAACACAGCTACCACTTGGCGCTCGCTCTCACCCTCGTGCGCTTATCCCCACAACACAAAGCCCCACACCCACCAACGCGCGACACGTTCGGTCCTCTCAATTTAATGTCGTGTTTTTGTGTGTCCTTTGCAATTCTTTTGTTCAAACTCCCTAGGATTGACCCGGTCATAGTTTAGAGATACCGAGAGTAATAATTCTCATCACGATATTGTTATTGACTAAACACGAATACACACTTCTAAGTTATTTTAGGGTTTTATTTTCTTTTGCGCAAATCAAAACAATATAATTATCGACTTATCTCCGACGGTCTTCTCTATTTATATAAGAGAAAAACTCGTAATTTTGCACAAAACATCTAATTCTTCCACTCTAATTATACGAGGATCAAAAATAATGTAAGAAATTGTTACTATTAAATCCTACCATGACTTTATGTATGTTGTTTAGGGGACCAAAAATATATGATGTTTTTGTCCAATTTACTTTTGTCTTTTGTAAATTAAAGTCAAAAAGCCCTCACTACCTTGTCAGGGCTGAGGGCATTGAGAGAAAAAGAAACAAGAAGACAAAATTTACCATCATAACCCTCCCTTACTAATTCATTCTAATTTCAACAATTTTATATAAGTTATTAATTAAAACATATATTTTTATTAACGGATAATAAATTTAAATATTTACTCCCACACACCTTCTTAAACTAATAAAATAATATTAAATTAAAATAAATCATAATCATGGGTTATTATTTAGTCATTGAAAAACCCAAAGCCCTAATCTTTAGCTTAGCCTTCATAATTTCCTTTTACAGAGCCAACAAATATTACAATCTTTTTAGAAAAGAAAAAAAAAAAAAAAGGTGTGGGGTCCATTGCACGTGCGGGTGCTGAGAATTAAAAGTCAAAATTAAATAGTAAAAAGTCAATCAAAGAAAAAAGTGACTATATTTGGCCATGAAAACATCCTTTTATCGTCGTCATAAATAGAAATATAATTTATATAAAAAGAAAAAATATGTGGTAAAATCATTTTATTAATAATAATAATAAAGTAATTAAAAAAAAAAAAAAAAAACTAGGGCATGGGGAGGCGAGTTTTAACGCGTGGAGAAGGACGCGGGTTGACCTTAACTCGACAGAACCGCCACTGTCTCCGACACAGCCCCCACGCTAACCCAGAACTACACGTTCTCCAATGCCTCTATTTTAATTAATATCTCTATTTTTTTTTAATTTAGTTTAAATCTCCTAAAAATTATAAACCACCGTCATTTAAAACATTAATCTTCGTACAAAAACTTAAATTTTTATTCCTCTTTCTTTTCTTTTTTTTCTTTTTACTTTGTCAATTAAATAAAATAGTATCAGAGCCAAATTACGGATGTGTCAGCCTTCTCACGATTCTTCGGAGGGGTAGACATGAGACGATGTGTCAGAAAGGACGCTTGGCCCTAGAGGGAGTTGGATTGTGATGTCCCACATTAGTTGAGGAGAAGAACAAAAGAGTCGAGTGTGAAAACTTTTCCATATCAAATGTGTTTTAAAGCCTTAACCGAAAGCGGGAAAGAAAAAGCTCACTTGAGTCGAGGAATGAATAAGGAAGGGATGTGAGGGAGTGTGGATGATTATATTTATGAGAGCAAACTTGAGTCAAATGCATGAATTATATAATATATATTATTATTATTATTGGAAAGAGATTTGGAATCACGCGCCTCCCACTCCCTCCTCCCGTGAGAGATAAAATTGAGTCATGGAGTCGAACACAAATCTAACCATGGTTAAGTCTAACCCCATCCTCCCCACCCTTTTTTTTCTTTTCTTTTTTTATATAGTTAAAAAAATAAAATAAAAAAGAAAACCCCCTCTTCTCTCCGGCTCCCTATAGTACGGAACAAAAGAAAAGAAGAGAGAAAAAAAACAATGGTGACGCGTGTTCCCCCTTGAACAACGCGTTTTCTGGGTCCTTGTATTTAAGCTCCCCTCTCCCTACCCTTTCCCTCTACCATTTCATTTCCCCCTTCGCTCCAAGATTCCAATTCCAATGGCCTCCTCCGATAATCTCACAACCATCCTGGATCCATGGGCCTTCCGCCCCTCATTTCAAGACCCATGGATTTCCGATGTCTTCTCCAGAGAAGCACACGCACTCTCCAACCCCATTCACACCTCCCACTCCGACGTCCTCTCTTCCTTTTTCGACTTAATTGCCCCTGATTCTACTCCCACTCCCACGCCCACTGCTTCAGGAATCTCCGCCGACCCCAACCGACCCATCTCCTCAATCCCCCCCACCGGACGCAAGATCACCAAGAGGAAGTCCAGAGCCTCCAAGCGGAACCACACCACGTTCATCACGGCCGACCCGGCTAACTTCCGCCACATGGTCCAGCAGGTCACCGGAGTCAGATTCGGCAGCTCCCACCTTCAGATTCCGCCGCTTTTAAAGCCGGAGCCGCAGAGGCCAGCTGGGCGCTTCACTGTCTGCGGCGCTGATGCTGATGCTGGACTGCCTACGCTCGACACGTCGGCTTATTTGCTCAACCACCACCAGCAGAACTCCGGGAGTGGATCCGAGATAACTGGGCCGGGTTTTGGGTTGACAAATGACGCCCTCATCGGGTCGGATTTTGATACATTTTCGTCTTTTCCCACTCTCGAGTCGTGGAAGGCGGTCATGTGATGGATAATCACTTGTTTTTTTTTCTCTTTTCCAATTTCCAAAAAAGAAAAACAAAAATTAGCGGAGGATATTCAGGTAGTAAGATGCGAGGGGTGGACATATTCTTTTTGTTTTGGAAATCTATGTAATGGTAAAATATTTCTTCCAAAAAATTCAAAAGATTTATTCTCCGTTGTTTCCAGAACGACGTCGCACTGTTCTTTTTGACTTGGCTTGGATTTCAAACTTGGTAGGAAGCTTGGTATCTTTGCCGTAATGGAAACAAACTGAGTAGGACAAGAAACGCGAAGGCTTGAGGTGTGACATCAAGTAAGTAGAGAAGTAATAAGTGGTCTAAAGGAACAAATGGGGGGGAAATTACAGCTATCAAATGTAACGTATGGGTAACATGGGGCTTCAAAGAATTTTTAAGAAACAATTAAATAAGCTTTGGTATGCAGCCAAGACTTGACTGATCAAGTAAACGCGGCCGTTGCTATCTCTCTCTGTCCCCACGTCCTAAAACGCACCGCATCGATTCAAGCTTTTGATTTACTTTAATTACACTCCTATATATTTCCAAATATTTTTACCATTAGAAGTGGTAACAAAAATTGAATGTGGTTGACAGTCGAGAACAATAAAAAAAAAGAGGAAAAAAAGTCAAAGTTTGCGGGCTGTACTTGATTGTACAGTCCCAGCCTTTTCTTTTCCCTTCAAAAAATTATAATATTATGAGAATATTATTTTTGTTCACATTATCCTTTCCAATTTTGTAAATCATTTTTTAATAATACATTCCACGTCATCTTAAAATACCCATCGGTTTCAGCTGCCTTTATACTGCCCACTCACCTCACGCCACGTTCTTCCATCTCATCTGTCTATCCTGAATCACTTTATATAACTAGGAGTTATCCTCTGCGCTCGTGCTCATTTCAGATACGTGGACTCCTTCGTCACTGCTTACGTGAGAGAGAGAGAGGAATTTTCAATGTGGGTCCTACTTGAAAGGATGACGTGTCATTAGTTCATCGCGAACAACGGAGTTACAGTTTAGATTCTTGATGACGTCGGACTTGCGTTTAGTCTACGTCTTTTTTTATTTATATTTTCGATTTTATTAAGAATGAAGTTCCTTTTGTTTTTTATTCGGTTAAAAGGTTTTTAATTGACAGCCAATTTTACATTTAACTAATAAGTTTGGTTTTTTTTTTTTAAAAAAAAAAAATTATTTCTTAACAATATATTTTAAAGAATTTATTGCATTAATGTTCTCCTTAACAATATTATTATTATTATTACCATCATCCTTCTCCTTAACAATATATTTGAATTCTTAATAAAATTAAAAAAATATATATATTTTAAAAAATGATAAGAAATGAATAATAATTTTTAAGAATTTATTGCATTAATGTTCTAGTTGACTTTAAACTTCATAATAATTATATTTCTTTTATTTACATTTTTCCAAACTTAGCGTATGAACACTTAGTTGTATCCATCTTCCCCAAGTACAATGAGATGGTAAGTTTTTGTAATAATCTAATCTAATTTTTGAGAGATTCGAGTCAACGTAGAATATTTAAAAATACACATAAATTTAAAGCCTTTAATACGTGCATGCAATGACGGGTAGGCCACTTAACGATCAATACCAAGTTCATAAAGCTTAAAGAATACAGAAAGAGAGACAAGGCAACTATCTAATCCAATCTCCATATTGCATTTTTTTTGGTGTTCCAAGAGCAATCGAACTATTTCTGAAAACATATTCGGCAAAAAAAAAAAAAAAAAAAAAAAAAAAAAAAAAAAAAAAAAAAAAAAAAAAAAAAAGAATCTATAACAAATTATCATAGATGGACCAAAATACTGTCTTCGGGCCGACTATAGATTCAAATCCTACCAAATCCTACCCCTTTCTTGTGGATCATCCTGTGGTTATTGGATGATGGAATAAGAAAGCAGAAATTAGGAAATTAAGCACGGAATGTCAATATATGAATTATTTCATTATTCGTTATTTTCCAGTCTTTTCGTTGCATGACCCCACGACAGATGAAGCTTTTTACCAATCATGCAACGATCTCTCTGTGAGCTTTGAAGGAGAGGATGACATTCCATGCCAAGGCAAGGAAATTAGCTGCAAGGACCTGAAATAAAGACGAGTGCTGTGTTTGAAAGGCATGGTTTTCAATACGTATCGAGATATTGTTGTTGTGTTTACAAAAAATCTTACGCACCAAAGCCCAAAGGGAGGTGTGGAGTCTGATAAAGGATCAAACCTCCTCCCACAAACTTTCGAACTCCTAAAAATCCTATCGTTTCATAAAACGGCACGACAACTGGCATGCTGAAGAAACCGGGCCGTATCGCGAAATGGTGCAAGAAGAACAGAACAGAAACAGGATAAAATGTAAATAAGACATACCTGGAATTGCTGGGGAACAAATCTGAAGTTGAGAAACTGGAAAGGTATCCAGAGTTTCCAATTAGCCACAACAGAAGAAAACCATTCCTACAAAGCAAAAAAACAAGTTTGAGGCTGAAATTAATAACAGATTGCTTCTCTCTTGTTGGAGCAGAAGATGTTCAGTTGGAACCTGTTGAAGCTTGGGAATAATATGCGACCGTCGCCCTTCCAATGTTAGTAATCCAGCTAGAAACGCTCCAAGGAACACCGGAGTAAACACGAACTGCAATCGTTAAATTCCCTTAACAAACAGGACGTCGAGTTAAATTACGTACTAAGAACTGTCTTCTAATTGCTGGATTACCTGATCAAGAAGAAGGCGCAAGAATGCACCTGAAGCTCCTGGCAGGGTCACCAATTGACTTAGATACAAATACCTATGTGTTCATTCATTAAACAAACAAGTATCTAAAGATAGTTCACGAAGGATTACAATTGAGTCTTCATTTTTAAAAGATAATTCAGACATGCTTCAAGATTTTAGTTTGAATTAATACCAGAAATGCAAGGCAGGACCGACTAACACAAGCCCCAACAGAGAAAATCTGAACGTTCTTTTCAGATCTGCCGACGGTGCGTCTTCAAAAACAAGCTATGTGAATATGTTCAAACATTTAGTACAATAGTCCTTACAAGAAAAACATATTATTAAGCAGCTGGTGCACAAGGATGCACCAGCTGAAAGTAAGGCCAAAGATAGAGAAAATGATACATTCATAGCAAATCATATATCTCCAAGATGGTCATTCAGCATGCCCCTAACTATCGGAACGTTCGGAAAGCCCTATGAAACATACACCAATGAAGTACTAGAGGTATTGGATATAATTGAAGTTGGTGCAGAAAAGGAGGCAAACCTGACAAATAAAATCTCCCAGAGCATTTAGTATCCCAGATGTTACAGATTTCACCAAAACAGGGTATTTTGCAAGAAGAGACAAATACCTGGAATAACACAGAAGCAAGTTTGTAAGGCAAAAAAAAAAAAAGAATGGCGAACTTATTTCTGATTCAAGCTTGTAAACAGAAGCTAAGAGGAAAGGACGAGGTTCAGAACCAATAAGAAACACTACCTCACATGCATTCCGCTGAAAATCGAACAAAATACCAACAGGAACTAAATAGAATACATCTTAATTTATTTTTTAGACTAGAAACATGGCAGCAGATGACAAGAAAGTATAGTGAAGTCGGCCACCATTTTTGTCACGAGCGATGGACTACATATGAACAAGGACGAGTATTGTATGTCAATATTTGACGCAGACTAACACGGTACGGTGGGATCAATGTTTTCCTTCAGCCGTACTTGATAGCTCAAATTTAAAAGTTCATGTCGGAACTACACCCCCTTTCTGAGGTGGTCCATCGTCAATTGCACAAGACATCTCTCTAATCAATTTAGTTATCTCAGAGTAAAGGCCAAACTTGGGTAAGATCTATAGGTATGTTATGTTAATTCCTTTCATAAATGGAAGATATAGGAGGCTCAATTTGTAGCCTTGAATCTTAAGCCTTCTTTCAGTCGCAAGAGGTTTATACTACCATGAGAACACACCAAAATATTTTGCAACTTGCAGAAGGACTAGAACAATAATATCAGTTTGTTTCAAATATATAAAGTTCTCTTAAGTATTTAGAGGGAGCTACGCATCAATTTTCTGGATTAGCCCTACCCAAAAGACTTTATCGAATGTACCATCTATAACTCTAACTTCACTATTGAAAACTTGGTTGTTAATTTTCATTCAAAGGAGCCAAAAGGAAGCCCTCAAGTAGATTTCCAATCATTAGAAACAAAAATTGTGTCTGACCAACAAAGCATCACGTTTCCCCTTACATTTTTCCTACTATAACACTTGTTTGATGAAGGGATTCTAGTCACCAACCGATCAGAGAAGCATTTGTTAAGGTTATCCTCCCTCCAAAGTAATAAATAACATGAAAAGGTGAGCAAGTTGCAAAAATTGGAGCTTTTGGGCTGTGGAATCAGTGAAGAAAAAATTGGAATGGTCGACATTTTTAGGACCTTGGTAGATCAGTGTTTCGTGGACAAAGGTTCCATAATCAGTCTGGATCATGAGACACTTGCTTAGTTTCAATGGACAAACAGGAGACAGCTAGTTTCAGATATGGCGAAGCTCAAATCACTCATAAATTAGTGCATCTCGAGAAAGTATGCCGTAAGAAAAACATTATAGGCATTCAACAAGAAGGAAGCATATGTGATTACAAGCACCGATCAGAATTGTCAGCTGTTGCAAGTGTTAGAAGGCACCTTAGATAAATAATTCAAAGGCTTAATGTATGCAAAGATGAAAAGGGAGATGGAATTAATCTGTACAGAAATTTATTACCAAGACAAGAAGGACCAGTTATCCCCGCCTTTGCCACTATCCCCTTCACCGCCTCCAGAATCTTCACGACCATAACCTCCATATCCATCACTGCCACCTCCAGAGCCAAAACCATCGCCAGAGCCATCGCCAGAGGATGCTGAAATCCGGAAATTCGTAAATCTCAGCGACCCACATTGCATTTGACGCCGACCCACAACCTTAAACTCCAATCGGTGACTATGGGAGAAAGAACAGGCATGAGTACCCTTGATTTGAACTGGGGTTTTAAGGCTTCGGGCTTGGAGGCCGAAGCGTAAGGAGGGTCCCCCATTAAAGGTGGAGCGAGTACAAAGGGGAGGATGTTGAAGAGAAAGAGTGGCGCCACGGAGAACCATATCTGTCGTGGACGATCAGAAAGCTTAGACAGTGAAGGAAGGGGATTTTTGGGAAGCTTTGAGAGGTCAATACTAGGTTTTGCAGTGATGCAAATGCAACAGAGGAAGATGAGGATGGTTTAATTCTGCCGTTGCAGGCGAGAATCAAAGCAGCATTTTTCACATTGGCCAATGCAGGCGATAACTGGTCTAGCTGTTCATTGTTCATCTGTGTTTTGTTCTTTTCCCTTTTTCTTTTCATATTTCCCTTTTAGAAAAATAAACAATTTAAAAATTAAGATTCTCTGTGGGTTAGAAATTATAACGAAAATCGAAATAAAACCAATTAATATAAAAAAATGCAAAATAAATATAAAATAATATATTAGTATAATTTTTATTAGAGGAAAATTATTACTAGTATAAATAAGAAAGAGAGAAAAATTAAAATAATTAATAAAAATATGGGGTACGATCCAATGAGAATATAGAAAGAAATAAAATTACACCATTTTTTTTTAATTTTTTTAATTTTATTTTTAAAAATAGGGAGAAAATGTGTGCAAGTATAGTAATCTAGAAAAGAAAGCATGTACCACGCAAGATTATAAATAGAGTAATTCAATTGAAAACAATCTATCAAAAACCTATTATAAATCATTGCTAAATTGTAAATGGGTTTTCCAAAAAAAAAAAATATTATTATATTCAATCAGAGAATCATTGTGGAGATGTGATTATGCTTTTACCGCAGTCTTTCAATTTGATTGTTGGGGCTGTGTGTTTCGAGATTGAATGGTTGTGATTCCAACTACTTGATAATGGGGGAATCCCTCTCAACAAGCCACAAAGTAGAGTCAAAGGTGAGACATCAAATACCACTCCATTAAAATCTGAAGCATCAAACATACCGTTCAACTGAAAAGAAGAGACAAAGGAGCATGCCCTTTTGTTTTGATCCTCTTCCATCTTATTGGCTTGAATCAGGCAAGCTAAAGAAACTTGGTAGATCTTTTCCAACAACTTCATCATTTTGATCACATGACACGATTCCTGCTTCTACAAATTCATCCATGTTGTCTCAATCAAAATAATCAAATTTCTTAGAGAGAGACTTTTTCTCCACTTACAATCATGTTATGCGTTCACCCATATAGGCCTTCATCCATCCAAAAGTTCACTTTCATTGACATTCATGGTATGCGAGCTCGTAATCTAACATGACCTGAAGCTCATTGCATAAAGATGAACTCAAAGGAGTCTCGGATCTTTGTCGACCAATTGCCTATCGGTTAGATGCTTCATAATACGCACCAAGTCAGGCATTCCCAACGCTTGTCTCTTGACCTGGCAACGACTTCTGTTGATATTACAACTTATGTTAGCAGAGATAAAACGAGGAAGGCATCCACTCATTTGTGGCGAATGAAAGAAATAAAAGACAGAAACAGAACCACTGTCCTCCAAAAAGTTAATTAAAAACAACTTCCACCAATTAGGAGGTGTTTGGGAATACTTTCAAAGAGTGTTTTTAACCACCTAAAAGTACGTTTTCTATAGTTAGAAGAGCTACCGTCTTAAACAGTAGGATGGCAAGAAACGCCACAAGCTCATCCTGCCAGTGGAGATATCAAAAAGGATGCAGAAAAGAGGATGCACATGAGCAAAATGTCTGGAGCTCGCACGCCATAAATAGTTAATCAACTAAGCAAGAAAGGAGCAAAATCAAGTCTTAACTGAAGGATGGATAGTTATGAGAGCTCAAACAGTAGAAAAATGAACTGACAAAAAATAAAGAAATAAGAAAGCATGACTTCATTTTGCCAAGGAGTCGGAGAAAACGTGGCCACGGTGGTCTTCCATGCTATAAAATGAAGGCTAAAAAGTAAGAGAGCTGGAAAGGCAACCTGATTGGGAACCAGAGGATCCATTGTACTTGCAGCCCCACGGACTGAATGTTCATCATTTTAGAAAGTGGGGGAAAGGGATCTCTGTTCTGCAACGGAAAAAAATGGAGCTGACTTGACTTGGCACAACCTAACGTCAAATGCCCTTAAGCATTGAGAGTAGTTTCAATTATATCCCTATCATCTCAAAAGTTTCACTCCTCAAAATTGGTTCAAATATACCCCCATAAAATTTTGCCGTTAAAACAAGCGACTAAAATTGGTGTGGTTTTTGAATTGTAAATGTAGTAGTAGACGAGACTTAAATATAAACGGCGTATGTGACAAGTAAGATAACCACTATGTAATCACTTTCCATGTCGTAGTTGTTCATTTTTTTAACTTAATCTCCCACATCAGTGATTGCCTCATGGATAAAGCTACTTGTCATGTTTGCCATGTCTACTAGTGCCCCATTTACAACTCCGCAGTCATATCAGTTTCTACCCCTTGAATGTAATTGAATGTAATTCCAAAGCCTTCGGTATCAAACCAACCGGACCCCTAAGAAGTTGATAAATGTCCAAAATCATTAAAGAAGATCCATCTCAATTTATAGGAGCATTTAAAGAAGAGATGATCTCAGTCTACAGAATCCCTTAGACATAGAACTCAAAAAGAGGGCTGCATATAACAACAAGAAGGCAGTTTCTTTTGTAGAAATTCAGCCGTATTTGCCCCGTTGTTTAACAATTTCCACATAAGCTCATTCACTTTTCTAGGACTTTTAGATTTCCAAATGGCATAATGCAAATCATTAGGCACAGAAGAAGAAACTGAAAGATGATTAACCATAATAAGTTAACTAAGAATAGTCCTGAAAATACGATATTCCAATAGTTCATATCTTTCTAGCATTGGAAGTGAAATCATTCAGAATCCCCAGTAGAAGAGAAAAATCATTAAACTTGTCATCCTTCATACTTGCTCTAGTAATTATTTTCCAAGAACAACTAACACTATATATGCAATGTAAGTATTGTATGGAGTCCTCTTGTAGTCGTCAGTTAAGGAAAGAAGGATCTCTATGTATTTTAATACTTAAATAACATCCAATTTTCTTTATAGATTGGAACAAAGTATGGAAGAACTAGAGAAAGAAGGAAGCTAGACAAAAGTTATAGTTCCTTTTATCATTAAACGAAAGATAATAATTTAAGGTAAATTTTGACATATGACTTTGAATGAAACAATGAATTATTAGGTCTCCTTAAGATGCTTACAAAAAATGTGTTGCCTTTGAAAGCACAATTTTCAAACCTTCAAAATTCAGTTCAAACTGATTCCTTAAACAGATTTTTCAAAAATAAAAAATGGGAGTTTGAAGGAATAGCGTAGCCAGTACCTTTGTCCCTTTTGAGTGGGTGGAGACGCATTCAAACATCATCAGATGATCAACTTGACTCCACCATGAACAAAGGTCCACCCCGCCCAATGAACAAACCATCAACTTTACCAGACATTTACTTTATCCTTCAATCAAAGCCCTGTAATATCGGCAAAACCCAGCTTCCTTCACTTTTAGATAAACAGTCTCCATTATCGGCTGCACTGACATGTTCCTTGATTTCCATTGATGATTCCAACTGCTTGGTGTGTCTACGTCCCAACAGAAGAAGGTCCTGCATCTTCCTTCTAACAATGTATATTGGATTGGGCTCAACCAAGCACCCTTTAGCATAAGCCTCTCTAAGAAAAACGATTTGGGTGTTCCCCTTGGTTGATATGTAGAATATCCCCGGGTGTTTCAGTAGAAGCTCACGGATATTGACTTCAATGGCGAAATCTCGCCTAAAATGGACAAGCCGTTCCACATCAACCAGCTTTTCCACAGTCAAGCTCAAAAGCTCATGAAGAACAGCCACAGCTCGCTTCTCATGGCGATGCATCCCCCCACAAGAACGAACACCAAAGCCTTGTCTCTTCTCATAAGGCTTTGCATATGGAAGCCTCTGCCAATTCCTCAGTTTCTCTCTAAAACCACCCTTTATTTTATACCCAGTTGGGAAATTGATGGGAAACGCAAATTTGACATCGAATTCGCTTAGCCATTTCTCTCTAAACTCTCTCTCCCTCCATTGTTCAACCTCGGCCACAGCTACATTCTCATGTTTATCAACTAACTCAACAATCTCCAAATCAACCAATCTGAAATCATCTGAATACTTCACAAGAATCGATTCCCTAAACCCATCGGGCAACCCTAATTCCTTGCTGATTAGCCTCAACGCATGAATATGGAGAGTGCCATTAGCAGACATCATTAGCAACTTCTTCAATCGCTGTACGGTCTCTATTTCGGAATCGTTAATAACATTCTCTTCTTGTTTCATCAAGGCGGCCATCTTCCCGGTAATTCTACAGCATAAATTCCTCCTCAGCGGATGGGGAAATACGTCGAACACATGGGGATACTTATGAACGAAATCCCCAATGCCGATTCTGAGTCCAACAAAGTTCCGCCATCGAGACATGATTTGTAATGAGACGAAAGGGCCGCGTTTCCGATCGATCATGAGCTCGCGGAGTTTGAAGATTATTCTGAGTTTTCTGATTTGGGTAGCGAGTGTGTCGAGCTTAAGGTCCCTTATTCTGTCTTCTAAACGAGTTTGAGCAGTCACCGCTGGCTTTCCCCATCTCCTTTGACAGAAATGATTGAAGGGACCGAATCGGAGTCTGGAAAAATCAGTTGTTGAAAGAGAAAACGCGGATTCAAACAATTTCATACCTTGTTGATTACAGTAGCATGAATGAAATTGGACATCAATGGAGCTTACCTAGAACTTGAAGAACAGTACACAGAAGAAGGGAAGAGCTAACAGAGCATGGTAGGAGTGGAAAGCGAACCGCCGAACAACTCGCTCAGCTATTTAGTAAGTGCCATTTGGCGGTATAATTTTTATTTGATTTTTTATAAATAAAAAATCGAAAAACCAAATTTTAATCCATAGAAAAGGTTCATTTTAATAAAGTTTCAATTGATAATTATTTTAATTTTTAAATTTTGGGATTAGGGTTTAAAAATAAAATTTTAAATAAATCATTCAAGGATGGCATTGGCGGCTAATAAATTAGGAAAAATTCCATTTTTTTAATTTTTTTATAGTCAACATCGTTGCTTAGAAATGGTATATAGTAATACGGCGTCGTTTCAGTCCCCCCCCCCCCCCCCCCCCCCCCCCCCCCCCCCCCCCCCCCCCCCCCCCCCCCCCCCCCCCCCCCCCCCCCCCCCCCCCCCCCCCCCCCCCCCCCCCCCCCCCCCCCCCCCCCCCCCCCCCCCCCCCCCCCCCCCCCCCCCCCCCATCCCCGTCACCGCCACCAGAAAGCAAAAGCCATCGCTGTAGCTCACCAGTTGCCACCCGCCTCAGCTCCCACATTCTCTTTCTCTCTCTACACAACTACTTCACCAGCACCCATTCTCTCTCTCTCTCCCGAATTCTCTCTCAACTGGAGGCGGAGGTCATAATGGAAGAAGAGCGAGCACTCAGACGCAGCGCCAATGGCGGTTCTTCTGTTCTTCGCCANCCCACTGTCAGCACCACTTTTACAATCCCTTTAACTCGCTACACTACCCGTTTGATTACCTCCGACCGCCACCGAGTCCTTTTGGCTGATTGCGCCGACCCTCGACCGGACGCTGAAGAAGATGATGATGACGAAGACGGCTCCAACGGATTCAATCACCGCTCCTTCTCCTACTCTATGCCCATTTTGGTTCTCGACGTTCTCTGGAATTTGGCCTTTGTTCTTGTCTCGATTGTTGTCCTCTTGTCCACGTTTCGTGAGCGCCCTTCCACCCCTTTGCGCCTTTGGATTTCTGGGTATGCCTTCCAATGTCTTCTGCACATTGGGTTTGTCTTCTTTGAGTACCAGAGGAGTATCCTGCACCATGGCTTTGAGGACCGTGCGGCTCATCGCAGGTAGGGAAAACAGTCTATTATGATTTCATTTCAGTGTTAGGGGAGGTTTTGTGCTGTTTGTTGGCTGTGGCTGTCTACATTGTTGACCTTTTCTAATCCCCCCTGAATTTTGAGCTTGAAATTTGAAGATGGATGGAGCCACTAATTTTTGCTTGTATGGTTTTTGATGTGATGAGGGGATGGATAATTGAGCATGCATGTTCTAAGAAATAGATGGAAAGGGGAAAATTTAAATTCTTTATTCGGTGTTTATTTTCTTGATTTCATGTTTCATTCAACCTGTAATTAACTTCGTATCATCTTCTCAAATTTAGTCTTCAACTTACCTGATGAACACACAACAATATACAGATCTATAAGCTGTACCAGCAAGCTTTGGACTAATTTGTTTTATCTTTGTCCTTCTAGCATAATGAAAAGGTTGGAGTCAATGAATACAATGACATCGTCGGTCTGGTGGGTCTTCGGATTCTATTGGATTGTCATGGGTGGCCACGCACTTCTCCAAGATTCTCCCCGGCTTTATTGGTAAGGACTTTGCCTTTTGACATGTTTTCTGATGGAGAAATGGTGTCACTGGCAAATTTCATCTTCTTTGAAAGTTGTTTCAACTGCCATCTTTTGGTTGGTTTTGCCTTTGAATTAACTGAATGTGTTCACACTGTTCAATCTGGACTTTACTTTTTTCTTTTTAGCAAACTTTCAACAAAGTCCTACGGAAACTGGTAGTTAAGTCATGGCTTTTCTAAATTAGGTTTCTTGTAATAATTGCATATCAAACTAAGCTGATGAGAGTTCGATCTCAAACAATTATACAAATGGCTATGCAAAAATTAAGGTATATCTTTAATATTCTGGTTCCAATCTCGATCATTCGGTTTTTGTGGGTCGGTGGGTGGGTTCTAGATCCTTTTATTCTCCTCTCTCGTATGTGAGAATCTTACAAGACCGGTGTCAATTCGAAAGAACGTTCTTGTTTTGCTACAAAAAGAACCTTGAAAAGGTACCAATGGGGTCTCTTTAGAGGTTGATAATGTTTCCAATACAATAATTGAACCTAAATCCTGTAAGGTTAATGTTGAGTTAGTTGATACAAGAAAATTGTATATATATATATATATATATATAAATCCTAAATGACATCAATACGAATGTTCCGTAAATAATAACCAGTGGATAGCGAGGACAAGGAAAACTAAGTAAATGCACTAAATTTTGTTACATCTGCTTTCTTGATCCAATCTGATACTTCGTCAACAAATGTATTTGAATTTCTTTCAAACCGTAATTTTGAAATTTTAGCTTTAATTGTGTTCACCTAAAGAAATCTAAGCTTTGATTTATTGTTGTTCGAATCATTTAGCCTCATTTGGAGCTTTGATGCTGAATATTTTTTGGGTCAATTGCAGGTTAACCGTGGTCTTTCTAGCATTTGACTTGTTCTTTATTCTCTTTTGTGTTGGGATGGCATTTGTTGTTTGCTTCTCTCTTTGTTGCTGCATTCCAATTGTAGCATTTGCATATGCCATGACTACCAGAGAAGGCGCCTCAGATGAGGATATCAGGACTCTTCCCAAGTATACATTTCGTCAAGCTCCGGTATTTGGGACATTTAACAAAGAACAAAAACCTGTCGGAGCAAGATTGGAGTTGGATAATGATCACCACATCAAAGAACTTGTTCTTCATCCAGAGGATTCGGTCAGCTACTTATCTTTTATTTCAAATCGTTAATATTTATATTCTATCTGGTTGATTGTTTATGATTCTATTACATCATTATTATCTCCTGCAAAAAGTCCCGGAAATTGCACGATTCAGATCTGCATGTGCATTACATATTATGTGCATGCAGTAGTTGATGATCATTCTAAAATTTGTGCGTATTTTGATTCTGTTCTCAGCTAGAATGAAGAGTATGTATTCCTTCTTGAACCATGAAAGATCCATGGAACTTTAAAAAAGGCCAATCTGGGTTCAATAATTGGGAATCTTGGTTATAATAACTCAATTTCTTGACTGCCTGCATAGATGGAAACAGAAATATCCTTTTTGTAACATTCCAAGCTCACCGCTAGCATATATTGTCCTCTTTGGGCTTTTCCTTTGGGCGTCCCCTCAAGGTTTTTAAAACGCGTCTGCTAGGGAGAGGTTTCCACACCCTTATAAAGAATGCTTCATTCTCCTCTCCAACCAATATGGGATTTGACAATTCACCCCCCTTTGGGGCCCAACATCCTCGAACCCTTATAAAAAATGTTTCGTTCTCCTCTCGAACCAATGTGGGATGTCAAACTTTTCTTGCTTATAGTAATGAGTAAAAATGTATATCAATATGGTTCTCTGTGTGCGCAATAGTTAGTGATTCTATGACAGGATGTACTTTCTTCATGGTGTGCAAATTTTTGTTTCGTTTCTCTCACTGGAATGTTCATCCTGTCATTGCTTTTGAATCATGGTAGTCTTTTTCTTGTTGCATTTATGCTGTTTAGTTGAGAGTTTTCCCTAATTTGAAGCTGAGTATTCAAATATTTACTTTTGTGTAGGAATGTTGCATTTGCCTTTCACAATATGAAGACGGGACGGAGCTCTATACTCTTCCCTGCAACCACCATTTCCATTGTGGGTGCATTGGCAAATGGCTTCGGATAAAGGCAACCTGCCCGCTCTGCAAGTCTAATATCCATTGGGGCGATACATTGGTTTAACCATCGGAACGAGCAACAAATCCAGCTGAGAATTTGAAAGTTAGGATTTTCAATTTCAGGTCAGATGCTTGTTGATCTCTGTCAACTAATGCTTTTAGAAACAGGGAGGGTGGAGAGTAGGAATTTAGCTGATTCCAACCTTAGGGAGATGTTTAGTTTCCTTAAACCCCATCTGTGGACACAATTTAATCTGAAAATTTAACTTTATTTGTATGTAAATTGATAGGAAAAGGTCCTTGTGCCTCTAATTTAATCTGCTATATGTGAATTCTTCTGTGTCAGTTTACTGGCTACTCTGTTTTCAAGCCTCTCGTCATAATTGAAGAGGGATAGGAAAGAGGGAAAACATAGCAGTGTGGAGAAAAGTAACCGCTTAAACCCACCTTTGCCCTCTCATAAACCCTTGAAGTAGAAATCATTCTAGAGGAGTGATTAGATTAAGCGATTAAGCCTAGGAAAGCAACATTCAGTTTCAGACAAGTTTGAACGATGATGACACAAAACCGTGGGATGATAGAATTGACTCTTAATAGCTTAAGGCTATTGGGGTGGATAGTTGTTGCAATATCAAATCGATACAGCAAGTGGAAGACAGGATTGAAACAGATGCGTAAATAGCAACAGCTCTACACAAGATCAAGCAGAGTATCTTTTAGTGGCGTTTTGGATATTGTCTTGCTTGGTAGGCCATGTTTTTCAAGAATTGGCATGATTCATGCCGCTTGGGAATTCCTCTTCTGGTTTGTTTTCAATGGACTGTATGTTTAAGTTTCTTATGTTAAAAACAATCCTTATATATTGTTTTAAAAGTTCTAATTTAATTTCTTGCGTTAAGATAGGTTAGTGTTAGGTTTAGCATGGTTGACAGCTGAATTTATTAAACTCTACAACCAACATGATCAAGCAAAGTGTTTTGGTCTTGAAAGATCAGCGTGTTTTCAAACCAAATCATTATCAAACGATACAAACAATCATCAAACGATATAAACAATCAGATGTTGTATTATGTAAATAGTATACTTATGTACAAGACGCTGTTATTGATGTTAAATCATAGGCCATAGACCACTGACCCCGACCCCCTGGACTCTGTATAATGAGAGCATGCTACATGCTTATTTCACTTTGGAACAAACTGCAAGGATAATAACACAGATCTCTTAACCTGTTCCATACATATGCTTTCACTGTTTTGCTTATCAGCTTCATATGCAACTTCAGATAGCAGATGTTGAGAA